GGGCATTGACAACCTGATTATAAGATGGAAAAGCATTATCGATAAGAATGGAGACTATTTCATTTAATAAATTTTTTGGTTTGATATACAAGTTGTTCGGTTTTTTTTTTCCTCTAAAAAATAAGCGACATTAATTTCTTGACGACCTAATACTTCTGTAATTTTAGTTTTCAATTTAATATTCATTAATTTTTTCTTCTGTAAACAATTAAGCTATTTGCTCATTATTACGAAATGTAAATTGATACCTCGTAAAACTTTCATTGTTACGTCCTTGTGTTTATCAGTGTCATTTGTTCTTTTCAGTTAGGGTTGATAATTCGAACTTTAGTTTGTACTTCTGTCGAAACGTAGGGTTTTCTAACACATATATATTTCTCTCTTCTGGAATTTGATTAGTCAGTTTAGTCTTTATTTACTGAAATGGTTTTAATCATTCAGCCTGCTCAGCAAATAAAAAATGAAAAGTTTAAAGTCTTAATACATCTCCATATAACTGTTCCAGGCACAATTACAACAACAAAAAATTTTTATATGAATGAAAGTTATAACAAGGCTATTTGTTTATGGCCAAGAAAATAAAGTTTACCAACTCTAATAAGATATCCAGCTTTAATATTAAACCAATTAACAGTTGGTGTAATATTAGTAATACTATTATTGATTTCAACAAAGTAAAAAAATTCTGAGGATTTATATTTTATAATTTGAAATGCTATTATTTAGTGTGTTTTTTTTATTTTTATAACACACACAATATTAAATTTTCAAACACAGATGTATAATAACAAGCTTGTACATAGTAATTACTGCAGGGAAGGTAAATAACAGTAACAGCATTTTCAGTAGATCAATTATCTTTACATACATGTATTAAATTTCATATTACCAGGAGCAAAGGTGTGATTAAAATACTAATCAATCATTCATTTGGATAAAATACACACAAAAAAAAATGATGACCTATTCTACCAGAGTTGTAATCAAATGTGCACACACACAAAAAAAGACAGTTTGTGTAAATGACACATAGACAAAAAGAATATAATCCATATTGCATTTATTCTCACTTAAATACGCATTATAGTCATACATGACTACAAAGTAGAAATGTGGAAAACAATGACACTTTGCAAATTAAACTTGATTCCAGTATTACATCCTCCCACCCTTAGAGTCGTAAACTATTACCATTTTCATATGCATTTTGCTTTTGGTTATAGGAACCCTTCCAACTTTCCACTTTATCAGCTTTTCTTTTTATGTACATTGGGATTTATTTAGAACTGCATTTTCTTGATCATTGTTTTTTATGCACAGCTGAAATTCACAGTATATAAGCTTTAGTAGCTTACTTTTCTTCTAAATGAATGAATGTAGAAGTGCTTAATTTTTCATGTGGTTTTGTTACTTCATTATAACCAAGTTGGATCATCCAAATGGCAGTTTTATACTAAAAAAATATTAACTTTGTAATGATAAATCTGAACAATAATAACAATTTATTCCTGATTAATCATTCAATTTGTTATATTTGTTTTCCATTGTTGATGCTTTCACTCTTCCTTATCTAGGCATTTCTTGACTTTCATTGAAACCAGTCTATTGTGAAGCAATACATGTATGTTGTTAAAACTGAATCAAATCTGTGTGAAAAACCATTTAACTGAACTCGGGAATTGTTAATGTTTGTTGAAAATAATGAATGTGTATATTTTAAAACAATATGGAGATCAAGTAAAATGCCTCACTTAAGCAAAACCAAAAACTACATTAAAGTTTTGCAGTTCAGTATAATTAATTGTTTTGCTAAATATTACAAATTAATTCTTTTTATAATTCTAATGCAATCTGTATAAGCTAAAGCAAACATTTTCAGGAATATGAAGAAAAAATTATCTTAAATAAACTAACAATGAAATAATAATAATTCATTTAACTTTCCAAAACCTGGACTTACACGATGAAAATCACAATAACTAATGCTATTGGCAACTGATATCTTTAGCTCTGTTGGTCTAAATTATCTCAATTTCTAGATTTAATTAATTGATATCATTAGATAACATAATGAAACTTATCATCTTTCTCTTTCCCTAACTTAATTACCATGTAAAAGTATCAAATACTGAGCTGTACTTACTTTTCTGGGGTGCACATACATAATTTGGTAGACAAGTCTTTCCTGAGTTATGATTGGCTTAAAAAGCACAATGTACAAATAATTATTTTTTTATATATATTTTACTGTTAAATGTTATTTTCATCAGTTTACACTAGCTCTTAATATTTGTAATAAAGAATATAGCCTACCAGAAGTTTCTAAGCATCTTAATCTCATCTTGAAATATATACAATAAAACATATAGCAAAAACAGTCATATAGTTATTTCTCACTAGTTATAAGTGGAACATATGAGGACATTTCCTGATTTATGTTTACATTTACTTTAAAAGTACCAGTATTTAATAATGAATATTTTTATTACAACAAAGGTTCATTGCTTTAGTATTTATTTTAATACTGAATATTTAAATACTTTTTTTTGCATCATCATAACTACACATCTAGTGCTTTGTAGTAATTGTACCTTTATTATTGTTTTTGACACACATGTAACACTTTGATGATTACAACTAAGTGCCATACACTTAATGCATCATATACTGGCCCACATGGCATTTATATACTGTGTTAAGTTGTGCCAGCAAACATCAGTACATAAATGACAAGAAGGTTGTATGCAGTGCAAATAAAAAAAAGGTCTAACCAAAATGTTAAATTGAAAGCAGTTTCTGATTAATACAAAAAGATAATAATAATGTTTTTATTAATGTTAGTTTAATTTGTAGAGATTTTCAAAATTATCATCAACTGTTTTATTAAGATGTGTTTATCAGTGTTAGAGTAAACTATAATTGTAAACTTGTCCATATGCCTCTAGTACTAGATAAGACTGCTTATGTTAAAGCATTTTGGGGACAAAAAATTTGCAAAACTTCTGTAATGATAATATGATTGTGATTCTACTCCCAATTTTAAATGTACACTATGTGCAAAATATAAGCATAGCACTTACAAGAAACATTTTGTCTCTGTTACAAACAATCTTGGTACAGTTTATGACAGCAACAACCACTGTATTTATTGCCATAGTACAAAAGTACTTGAATGACACATCTGTAATTTCTTCAACTACTGTTTGGAACCTCTGACCTTCCTTGCCACAGTATGAACATGAGTTATATCACAAAAGTATCTGCAGTTTGAACAAGTATGTGGGGGTTATTGACTGAATTGAACCTTAAGTTGATATTCTGTTTCCCTAGTCAAGCATTATATGCATTATTTATATTGCTAAAGTACTTGCAATTTGGACAATTACATAGATGTTACTGACTGAACACCACCATAACTTGATGTTGTGCTGACCTGGTCAAGCATTATATACATTATTCACTATAACTTAAGTTGGTGTTCTGTTTCCTTGGTCAAGCATTATATACAGTATATTACTGTGACCACAATAATGGAAAAAAACGACAACTGTAAATCCAGTTTTTTTTGTTTTTTTTTGATAAAATTTGATACAGGATACAAAAAAAATAAAGCATTTCAATAAAAGTATAAGATTCTTTCAAGAAACACTAAATAATATATTATATTTTATGTAATACACTGAATACACTCTGATAAAGATATGTATGGCTGGAAGTTGTTTTTAAACATATCAACAGCATACCTATACACAAATTCATGTATTCTACTTTTTTATATATTTGAAATATCAAAAATATCATATGTACCAGATGTAACTAAAAGAAAAGTTTGAAAGTCAATAAAATTTCACTCCAAAAGACTAAATTTATTACCATAGTGAGAAGAATTAAGTAACAGATCCTACATGGTAATAATCAATATTCATACAGAAACACCAAACACACCAAAAAAATACATTGTCATAATTCCAAATGTTCCCAACTTGTCTTTAATTTGAAACTGTGGTAATTTTTGTGTAGTACAATGTTTATACATCCATTTAAGAATAAAACAAACAAAAACAAAGGTTTTGAATGAAATATTGTTTCACAAGTTACTAAATACTAGAACAGGATCAAGAAACACTCCAATAGATAGAGATATTATTACACACAAAACAACCTTTCTGAGAATCACAGGACAATTTAAAATGGTATCATATAATCACTTGTATTTTTTCATTCATTTCTTACCCTTTTAAATAAGTTTTCAAAGCTAATTGAATAAAATATTCTATACCATTTTCTATCCTTTTTAAGTACGTGCACACAAATTTCTGAAATAATAAAGAACTAAGAAAATAAATTCTAAAATTCCTTACACAAGGTATAAAATTTAGCCATACACCCTCTCATTTTTAAATGCAAGTTAAACATATATTTATAATATACATACAAATTCAATTCTGTCAGTTTTCCTATTAAGATTCTCTAGTTTCTAAGTTGAAAAGAAGCCTTTTAGAAACACACACACTATCTTCTAAACAACATCTTATAAAATTCAAGAACTTGAGTTATATAGATAAACAGAACCTTTTGAATTAGTAAGCTGAGATGTTCACAAAGATCGAAATTAGAGCATTATAAATTAAATGTGTACAAAAATCAGTTAATTGAATAAGCACAGAATCCTCCAAAAAGTATTTCAGACATAGTTGTTATGGAAGTATCTTTAGTACATATGTGCTGATTAAACCATTTTACACAAACAAAAGGTAATACTTCCAACAGTAGAGATCAGAATAATATAATTTATTTCTTAAAATACATTATTTATAAAGTTCATGAGTGGCATAACTAAGAGAAATCCACAGATTGTCAGAAGAATCTCATGGAAATTTTACCTAAAAGTGTATCAAAAACTTACATAATATCCCAACAGATGGCAACACTGGTGAATATGTAATTGTGAAATATTTTGTTGAACTCAGTGGACAAGCATAAAAATTCTGATAAACAAAACTCATTCAATTACACAAATTTACAGAAAGAAAAATTACACGGTTGATTCAAGATTTAAAAAATTCTATCATATGTTAAGATACTTGCTTCATTCATAGTTTTAAAATTTCTACTGTATACAATAAAAAAATGTGATGTTAAATATGCATAAAATATGGCATGTTTTTTTCAGAAAATGTCTTCCTGCTTCCAAGATACAGGCCAGTACAATTAGCTTTTACACTTCCATCCAAGCATAAAATAAGATAAAATGTTCTGAATAAATTAATGTTTCAATGAGGCATTAAATGCTTGATAAGGTTCAAGTTAAAACACTCAAGTAAAAGAGAGAGAGAGAGATAAGTAATGAAATATGATCACACACACAAATAATCATTCTGAACGACACAGGACAACTAAATTTAACTTGGTATAATTTTTAACTGATTCTAATAAATCATAACAAAACAGCCTGTTTGAAACCAACATATTTATTTCATGATCCCAGCATCTCCAAGACAAGTTTCAATTATCATTTTTAATTATTATATCTTTATCTCACCAAGCTCTTCTGTCATATCAATAACAATCACAAATGATGCTATAATTATACCCTTAAAATATACAAAAAATTAGCACTTGTACAACAACACATACATGTATATATTAGCAAGTCAAAATATGTGAAAAACAGGATTTCCTGTTCAAGCCTTTTCGTTGCATTATTTCATGCTAGCAATCATAATGTAATAACTTGTTGCTGAAGTAAATTGCTCAAATGTGTTTATACAAGAAAAAAATCATATATATGACAGTTCCGGTTTATACATGTAAACACTTAAAAATATGATTTTTTTTTTTTTACATTTTCTTCCACTTATTACATACACATATCAAAACACTACAACAGTTAAAATTCTAACAAGTGATTTATTAAAATTACAGCAATTATTATGTCTATCATTTCAATGCTTGGGCAAGCAGACGTGTTTAAGGATTGTCTTTCAGTGATTTAAACATTTTATGACATCCATGTATCAACTGACAGTTAACCAGCAGGAAATGAAGTTTTTATTCACTAGGATTATCTATTATTTACGGTTATTATCCAGATTGTTTATTGTTTTCACGTAATTCTTCACAGATTTGAAGTATTTACTAATGTTTTATGATTCTCATGGAATTAACTACAAATGAACTACATACAGAGTTCAATACCATGAGAAGATTGTAAAACATCAGTAGGGTGAGCAATTAAATACCGGCCTATATATACATGTTACTTAAAACAGCTAAAAAACACCCAAACATATAAAAGTATAGACCTACCTCAAAAATACTAAAGATTCAAGTAGAAATAATTAAGACCAAAATCCTAGTTCAACCATAATTACTTTACTTGTAAATACTTTATCACATTTTAAGAATCACAAAAAAAATCATACTGAGCATCAATCTATACCATTACAATAAAGATCTAAAATTATATAAATTAGTTCAAAGTATAAAAAATACCTGCTACCATTTAGTTTGTAAATATAAATAAGAAGGAAACAAACTATTGCTACTGATTAAAACATCAAACTTAAATAAACAGGAAAAATACATTGTTGAATAATGGATATTGAATATCACCAATGCGTTTCTTGTAACATATACACTATATAATTGCATATCACAAATGTGTTTCTTGTAATGTATACACTGTACAGTTGAATATCACCAATGTATTTCTTGTAACCTATACACTATACAATTGAATATCACCAATGTGTTTCTTGTAACGTATACACTATACAATTGAATATCACCAATGTGTTTCTTGTAACGTATACACTATACAATTGAATATCACCAATGTGTTTCTTGTAACGTATACACTATACAATTGAATATCACCAATGTGTTTCTTGTAACGTATACACTGTACACTTGAATATCACCAATGTGTTTATTGTAACGTATGCACTATACAATTAGCATTTTAGATATACTTTTGTCTGTAATAATTACAGCTCAGCTGACAAGTTCTGTTATTAAGGGAAGGGTTCTCTGGGCAGTGATTTTGAAGACAAAAATCTGGTGTAAAATACTTATTTTACACACTTCTGATTTGAAATCTGTACTAAGCTAGTTAAAAAGAATGAAAGAAAAATAATACCTATACTTTAGCATTATTTTCATTAATTTTTATCAGCCTAAAAATTTATCTTTGTATATCA